TTACCGTGGGGCCGTGGGCCGGGAGTCAGAACGCCTGTGTTCTCACCCTGGCTTGGGAGGAGAGTTGGGACCTAGTGGTTAGAGCAGGGGGCTGGGAGCCAGGAGGGGGGTTGGGAGAAGTGACACCTTTTGGCCAGGAGACTGGACAAAGGAGAGGAGGAGCTGGGGGGAGGGGGAAGAGAGCTGCTGGAGGAGTTCTGGCTTTCAGTTTTGGGCTGGGTGGTAAAATGCAGGGAACCCCAAGCTGGGGTCTAAGCTCCCTAACCCCCCCCTCCCCCAGGAAGGACTTAACTGAGAGATCCTGGTTGTACCTACACGCTCTGCTTGGGACTGTGTTCCTGTCATCTAATAAACCTTCTGTTTTACTGGCTGGCTGAGAGTCACGGTGAAGCGGAGGAAGAGGGGTGCTGAGCCCTGACTTCCCCCCACTCCATGACAGGGCCCCAGAGGTAGCCGGTGTCAGCTGAGAGTGTTGGACTCCCAGGAGCTCCCTGGGGCCACCCTCCCTTCCCGCTCTGGTTCCCCACCCACTCCTGGCTCCCAGCCCCCTGCTCTAACCACTAGTTCCCAACTCTCCTCCCGAGCCAGGGTGAGAACACAGGCGTTCTGACTCCCGGCCCCCGCCCCCGCTGTAACTCCCCAGACATCTTTGTGCCTCAGTTTTCCTCTCTGTAACATGGGGCTAATGACCCTGGCAAATGCTGTAGGGTGGGGGATAGCTGTGCTGGGCTCTGACCCCCCTGGCTGGACGAAGGGGTCGGAGCTGGGTGTGGGGTTCTGCTCTGGGCCGGCCGGGGGTGCAGCTCAGCGGGTGTCTCTGTTCCACAGACGCCTCCATGGATGAAGGGAAAGAGCCGCAGACCCTGGTAAGTGTCCCCTGTTCCCCCATGGGGCCTGACCCCAACCCTGACCCACATGGGCCCCAGCAGCCTCCTCCCACCTCACCCCCCCCATGCCTTTTCTGGCACACTCAGTGGCTTGGGGTGGGGGTCGGGCTGGTGGGAGAGGGGTGGGCTTAAGGGATCTCCAGGTGTGTGTGTGCGTGTGTGTACCCTGTGCTCTGTGTGTGTTGGGGTGTTGGTGGATTCACACACACACACATGGGTGACTCTCTCCCCTCCCAGCCCCAGGAGCCCGACCCCGGCGCCGACGGACTCACCTACGCCGAACTGGACGGCCAGGCGCTCCAGGCCAAGCGGGGGGGCCCGGCCCCTGCCCCTGAGCCCGCTGAGACCAGCATGTACGCCGCGATCAATGTGAGCCGGGGGCCCCCACAGTGAGAGCCCCCTGCAGCCATGGGGCGCCGGCCCCCACGGGGCAACAGACTCACCCACCTGCAGCACCTGCCCCGAGACTCTGCTTCTAGGGAAGATTTAGGGGGGACACTGCCCTCCCCCCATGGCTGCCCCTTCTCATCGAGCTGCTGTCTCCCTGCCCCACCTAGGCCCCCATGTAGGGGCCGGTGTGGGGGGCTCAGCACTGGGAGGGGGAGGGGATGCGCTGAGGTGGCTGTTTATTTTATTTTGCATCCTGTTAATCTCCAGATTAGTAATAAACACAGAACCACAAACCAGCCCAACCTGGGCACCTCACAGCCCCCCTCTGCCGGGAATGTGTGTAACACCTGGGGGAGATGGGGTGGGGCATGGGGGGTGGTTATACAGGGACCCCTCACCCAGCGCTGGGTTGCAGCCCCTCTGGGGAAGGGCGTCAGTTGGGCAGGACACCGGGGTTCACACCCTGACTCTGGGTGAAACTGCAGAAGGGTCTGATGCCCGTGACTAATTGGTGCCGGCTGTTTACATCCCCCCATGGGGTCGTCCCTTCCCCGCTGTGCTGGGGGATCCATCCCTGTGAGCCGGTGTGCGGGGAGCAAAGGGGAGGTGATCCCTGGGCGGTGCCCGTATGAGAGATCGGGGGGGCATCACCCTGTGACCCCGATGTTTCCCTCCTCGGGGCCCCGGGCCGGTCAACGTAGGCACAGGGAGAACCCCACAGCTAATCCCCTGCTTGTATCTTCCCCATAAGGGCCCCAGGCCCCACCCTGAGGCCCTGCCTCTGGGGCGATGTGGGAATCGCCACTTGCTGGGAGCAGTGCGGGGGCTAGGACACAGAGCGGGGCAGTTCTGAATCCCCCCTGCAGGGGTAGGGAGTGGGGGCTGTTTTCCATTGAATGAGGCTTTGTGACTGTTCAGTGATGTGTGGAGGAAAAGTCCCCTCAGCTCCACCATCCTGGCTCCTGCATGAGATGCTCCCCCCCACCCCTGAAATCCTGGCCCCTGCAGCCTCCGGACCCACAGATTGGCCTGACCCATGTCTGCCTGCCCCTGGGTGCTCAGACATCAGCCGTCTCCCCATTGCCTCGGTTTCCCTTAACTCCTGCTTAAAGAGCCCCCCTGAGCCTGATAGTCTCCACCTGTGACACTCTGTACCTCTGGGGAACACCCTGCACCCCCATGTTCATCCTTGTAATATGATTGTGTGGGATCTAGTGTAAAGTTTGTCATGTCGGGTGTCTTCGGAAGGCTCATGATGCACCGAGCATTGTTGTTACAGTGATGTTATAGGTTGTAATTTCATGTATATAGTTATGTGGCTGAAAATGTATCCTCATGGTGTGTGCCCATGGGAGGAGGATCTGAGACCAGGGCATGTGCCCATGGCGGGGGGGTGTCATGGACTCACAGGACTCGTGCTCTCTCTTGGCTCCCCTTTCAGTACTACAGCCCTTCTCAGGGGTCACAATCTCTCTCGGGGGTTAAGCCCCTATGCCTCCTGGAACCGCACCTGTCATGAACATAGAGCTAAGGATAGCATAAAATCCCTCCTTTACCTGTAAGGGGTTAAGAAGCTTAAATAACCTGGTTGGCACCTGACCAAAAGGACCAGTAAGGGGAGAAGATACTTTCAAATCTGGGGGAGGTTTTTGTTTTGTCTCTCTTTGTTGTTCTCTCCAGGACAGCGAGGGATCAGGACAGGGAAAATACATCTCCTAAAGCCAGACCTGAACTAAGCAGCTAAGATTACAAATTGTAAGTAAGTAATAGCAAGGAAATGCGTTAGGTTATCTTTAGTTTTAGCTTGTGAATTTTCCCTATGCTTACAGGAAGGTTTATTCCTGTTTTTTGTAACTTTAAAGTTTTGCCTAGAGGGGAATCCTCTGTGTTTTAACTC